TTTTTTTTTAGATTCATGCATAATATATGTATCAATAATATGGGCCTTTTTACTGCTGAATTATATGCAGCTTGAACTCATAGTGATCCTTTTGTCTCAGCCTCCCCAGTGCAGGGATTACAGGTGTGTGCCACCACGCCATGGTTGGCACAGCATACAGTATCAGGGATCGAACTTGAGTCCTTGGGTTTGCCAGGCAGGCACTTAGACTGCCAAGCTACCTCCACAGTCCTGTGTTTGTGGTTTTGGTTTGTTTTTTGTTAGCTACTGTGAGCAAAATTGCTATGAACATTCATGTGTTAAGTTTTTCTAGGGATGTATGTTGGCATTTCTTGTGGATAAGTATCTTGGAGCGAACTGTTGGGTTACAGAGGAGAGAGGTATGTGTGAACCTTACAAGACATTGCCAGACCTTTTTCCAGCCTCGTGTTCCCATTGTGCATGTCCTCCAGAAAAGCATGAGTCTGAAATCCTGTGTACTTCATGACAAGCCTGTTTTCCTATCCCAAAGTCAAGAATGTGGTTGGATTGGAGTTCTCTGGGTCCAGAAGAACCTAGAAACAGGGATCACCCGAGACAGTGTTGTGGCATGTATTTTTTCTATATAGGTAGGAAGTCCCTGACCTGTCAGTAAGTGGGTATAAACTTAAATTATTACAGACAGTTATATGAATATTTTATCCTTAGAGATCTTCAACGAAGACAATTCCATTGGGGAATGTACCTTTGGTCAGTAAAGATTGAGTGCTTTCTTTTTTTTTTAATTTTTTTTTAAAAAAATGTATTTATTTGTGTGTGTGTGTGTGTGTGTGTGTGGCCAGCTCAGTCCACCAGGGGGCGGGGCTGGCTGGCATGTGGTGCTGGGGGATTGAACCGCCTTTGCTAACCTTGTTCTAAGTAGGTGCTTTAGACCCCTGAGCCATCTCACCAGCCCCTTGAGTGCTTTCTATAAAAAGAAAAGTAAACCCCAAGCCCTACAGAATTCCACTAAACTGCTTAGAAGCTCCACAGGGGATCCCCAGCCTCTTTCTTGGTCTTGTTGACATGAACTCAGTGGAGATTCCCCTTGGACTTCACCAGTCTGGGCATTTGGCTGTTGAAAGGAGTTGTGTTTGCTTTATGAAGCTGGTCAGAGTTGGCTTTTTGAAGATGCATGGAACACCTTTCCTGCGAAAGGGGTTTGGCCTCTCCACAAGAAACAGCCTGTCAGCACCCCTTTTGTTAGTCTGTCTGAGAAAATGGGCCTGTCCCCCCCACCCAGGTCGCCTTCCACCTTAGTCTCCCTCTGGGGTCCAGCAACAGAAGCCTGGCCTTGTCTGGTTCAGGAAACAGGAAGTGAGCCTCTCTGCTGGGTGTGCACCTAGGATGAAATTTTTACATTTCCTTGCTGTGTCCCAGTGCTGACCAAGCTTTACAGGGATCAGATGACTGGTTGTGCAGTCCAAGAGATTATCCTGTGTTTGGGGACTGTTCCACTCATGTAGCACAGTGAGTGTAGTACAGTGCCTGCCACAGGATATAGACACAGTAAATATTAGCGTAGTGGCTTGTGGTACCCATCTGCTTGTTTCTCTAGAGGTTGACAGAGGTTCCTATGTGTCCGGATCCCAGAATGTGTTTCACCAGAGAACTTACTACCCTAGCCAAACAGACTGGACCTAGGAAAACTTCAATTGCTACAGCCTTTCATTGTTTACAGCACCATTCTCTTTTATTACAGATTTTATTGTCATTATTTATTTTAAGTATTTGGTACAGGGTCTCACTATGCAGCTCGAACTCATGGTGAGCCTCCTGTTTTCAGCCTCCCCAGCACTGAGATTACAGGCATGAGGCACCACACCAGGTCCTGGCGGCTGGCACAGTGAGCCAGGGGTTGGGGCTCCCAAGGCGTGTGGTGCAGGAGATCGAACCCCGGTCCTTGTGCTTGGCTAAGCAGGCACTTAGTCTGCTGAACTATATCGCCAGCCCTTTACTGTCATTATTAACAAAATAATTATAGCTAGTAGTTGATGAGTACTTTGTCTTTGCTAAATACTGTTGGGCACTTTATATACATTACCTGAATTTAATGTTCTTGAAAGACAAGTATTGGTAATATTTGTAGTTTAGCCTCGAGAAAGCTGAACTTTAGTGAGTTAATTTGTCCCAAGTTTTATTTTCAAGACTTCTCTTTTGGGGAGAGGGAACTGCAGTATTTTGGTTTAGCAGAAGCGGAGTCTAGCTACAAGCATAGAATTCAAAAACAGTTATCAAAACCAAAAAATAAAACACCCCCCCAGAGTCATAGAATAATACAAATATTAAATAGAAGAACAAAATTAAAGGAAATGACATAGTAGGATAACTTTCTTTAGCAGGTTTTTTCTTTTTTCTCTTTTTATTTTAAACTTGCAGTGTGAACTGCAGCCAGGACCTGTAGGGAAGTACTACGTTTGGCAGCGATTTAGGATATTGTTGGTTGGTTCAGATCATTTTACTGACGTGGGAAAAAAAAAAAGATGCTGCCAGCTGTTTGGTTTTGAGTGTGTGTCTGAGTGTCTGAGCTCTTCAATACAGTAGTCACGTGAGTTAAAATGACATGTATGCAT